GTCCCGCCCGTGCCCGCCCGTGCCCGCCCGTGCCCGCCCGTCGGCGGCCCCGGCACGCGGGGTACCTGAGCGTGGGCCCGATGCAGGCCGTGTCGGTGCTCTCGATCTCTCGCAGGATGCGCTCGTGCTCCGCCGCTGTCTCCAGGCTCTCCGCCTCCGCCATCTTACTCCGCTCCATAGACTCGGGGAGCCCGGCACTGTCCCCTCCTTCAGCTCCACTCACCTTTCACTCTCACTCTCACCCCAGGCTCCAGAGCCTCCCCAGCCTCTGGCTACCCGCAGAACGACCCCGCCCTCAGTCTCAGCACGCCCCCTTGCGTCAACACGTCCGCCGACGTTTCACGCAATGCCCTCTGGGATTTGTAGTTCTTTCGACGATGTCAGACAGGGCTCCGCTCATTTATTCATTAAATCCATAAATACATATGGATTTATTTATGGATTTAGTGAAATCCGAACTCTAAGCCTGCATATGCAGCAGTGATCAAGTCAGGCAGTGGCACTAATCCCACAAGTTCTTAAGAGCCTTGCCACAAAGCTCAAAAAGCTCTACAGGTGCAAATAATAAGAAAGGGCTAACTAGGTTTCTGCCGACAGGTATGTTACAAGCTGAGGGAGGAAGGAGCAGAAAGCTGGAGAAACACGAACTAAGAGATAAGGCAGAATGTTTCTGTAAGCCAGATCAGAGAATCAAGCCCAGGGATCACTTCTGTGTCCCCAGGCCTCATAGACTGGGCTTAGAGATTTAAAGGTGTGACTGGAAGGTGTGAGGAATTCTCAGAAAGCCAGCAAAAACTACATTTGCACTGATATGCTGAAAAGTCGTCGTAAGAGATGGGGATAGAAAAGTACCTTGGAGAGAAAAACCGAACTGAGAAATTTGTACTTTATTCTAATGGCTCCACTGGTCCAACTACCAACTGTATTAGAAGCACCTAGAAACTTTTTTTTTTTTGATACAGACTAAAGGTCCTACATCTGGACATTTTGATCCAGACAATTGTATTTCATAAACTCCCCGATTAGAATTTTAAAATTATATTTATTGACCACAGTTTGAATTTTACATAACACAATAAATGGGAATTCGCTGAAGTTTTTTAAGTAGAGGAGTGACACAATCAGAACTTTTTCATAGGGAAACAATCAAGAGCAAGTGTGCAAGATGGGCAGAAATAGAATATTTGCAGACAGGGAAATGCCATTGAAAATTTTAAAGCCTAAACCAGGGAAGTGGCAATGAGAATGAAAAAGAGTGGAAGAATAGGAAACACATTTAAAAGCAGAGTTGTCATGATTTACTAGATATGGGGAAAGAAGACCTTGGGTATTACTCTAAGGTTTAGAGCAGAGCGATTGGGGAAATGATGTTGCCGTCAACAACAACAAAAATAAAAGGCATGTAAAATGAACCAAACTGGAAGTTGAGGCTAAATAATTTGTGCTACAGCATACCATGGATTATTATGCAATCATTGAAGAGAAAGAAAAAAGATTCTATATTCAGATAGGAAACTTTCTTCAAATTGTAGTGTTGAATGAAAAATAAACAAGGCATAAAACAGCATATACAATATGTTTTCATTTGTTTTATTAAAATAATTTGGGGATATAAAAATAAAAGAATATTTATTTATATGCTTACATGTATATGAAATATTACATACATACTATATTTCTGAAAGGATACCCAAGAAACTGTTAATAGTAGTGGCAGCCAGGAGACGGATTAGAAGGAAGGGGCCTAAAGTAGAATGAAAGTAATTTTTAATTATATGTATACTTTTGGAATTCTTTCCCTTGTGCATTTATTACTTTTTCAATAAAAATACTTGTTATTAACTATGAACAGATTTTTAAAATAAATAGTGAGGAAAATAGTTTACAAGTCCTGGTTTGCCAGGAACTGAGCAAGTTGCTAAACCTGTCTTTGTCTACATAATCTCTGGCTGTCCTCATTTTATTTCATTACTCATGTTTAAACAATTCCAGATGGATGTAGGAGGGGTACAAAGAGTATGGAGTCATTCATATTTCTAAAGATCTCTTGAAATATGTGACAGAGGGTCCCTTCAGGCACTCATTTTAGCATCTCGCTCAGCAAAAAAACTTTTTGTCCATCTCAGGAAGCAGACTGGTGTGTAGACCAGATATGTATAGCAATGGTTAAGCTAGCTTCTCCTACTGTCAGCAGTTTTCTTGAGCCCCCACAGAGGCCCAAGATCTCACATGTTACCAAAAAGGGCGTATGCATCTGGAGTTACTGGTGTAGGATAAAAGCTCCAGTGAAGATGGCCTGCCCTCTAAATAGAAAGAATGTTAGGTGAGTATAGAATGACCAAAAATCACTACATTAAAAGCCAGGGGCCTTTGATTTAATTCCAGTATTAGTGGTTAAAATGTACTGAGCACTTCCTGGCACAACACACAAAGCACCTCGCATATATCATTAAATCCTTACAACAATCCTTTGCAGTAGATATTATGTATCCCATTTTACAGATGAGAACGTTGAGAGAACTGATAACACCTCAAGTCTCATAGCTAGTAAATAATGAAGCTAGTATTCAAACCCAGGTCTATCTGATCTCGAGGCCCATTTCCTGATCATCAGGTCATACAGTCAGTCCCACCCACATCTTCCATTGCCACAGTTTATTGTGTAAGCGTAAGCAAATCATTCTGCCTCTCAGCATCTGTTTTTGCATTAGTATAATGTATTATATCGTTTCTCGGACACCTTTCAAATCACTTTGAAGACCTCTTCACGGAACCACCTCTTTCCACTTACTCACTTTAAATGAACCGTTTTTCTCTTCTCCTGCATCCATAGATTTACAACATCAACATTCTCACTACTCCGCACTGCCACTTCTAAACTATTGTTCAGACACCCTAATTCCTCAACTCCTCTTTGAAATCTAGAGCATTAGTTTGTGCTATGGGCATCTACTGTGCTCATATTCCTCAGAACTTTCACCACTTGGCTCACAGTTTTCCTTTCCATCTCATTCTCACCATCATTGTGAGGCACTTCAACATCAACATAGATAACCCACCCAACACCCTGACCTCCTAGATCCCAACTATCCCAGCCATGCTCCTCATGCCACACAGGCAATACACTCACGGCCTTGCTTTTTCCCTAACATTCTATAAATACTGCTCCATAAGTCTACAAACTCTGAAATTCCTCTCTGTGTCTCTTTTCCACCCACCTCTTCCTCTGCCTAATTTCTATGGGACCTACGCATTACTCTAGTCCTGATCATCATCTCTAACTTCTATGTAATCTATTGGCATTTTTTCCCTTCTACCCTGGATTTTTTTTTATCCAAGTTTCCAATTCAGAGAGATCTGACTGTGATTCCCAGCTTCTCCATTAATCAACCGGTGAATTTGGGTGCGAAGTGGTTTCCTTAAGCTGCAGTTTTCTTATACATTAAATAGATTTTATAATATATATCTTAGACAGTTGTTAGAATTAGAAATAACATAAGAGGCCTACCACAGAGCTTGGCAGAATAAATGTTAGCAGTTACCCACTGCATGTACTCCCATGAGCCACCAATTTGACTAAAACTTCTCTAATTCTTTAGCTTCCTTTTACATCTTGATCATCACCATACCCACACTGACTATTTCTTCTTTGTCTATAGTAATGGAGAAAGAAGACTGTGACCATGGCAACTAGCGCCACTGCACATTTGTGTTGCTCAATATCATTTGGGCCCTGAGGGCTGCTGACCTATCTCCTTTGACTTCTCTCAGCATCCACTTATAATCCTTTTCTCTCTGCTTAAGATCCTAGCCCTGTTCCCATTCTTCTCACTCTTAGAAGATACTTTTGCACTCCACTTCATTAAATGGACCACCATCTATTAACAAAACCTCATCTTCCCTCCCCTTCACCATCTTTTCATTCAACTCTTCTTCATCTCCCGTGTAAGAGGAATGGGGATCCCTTTCAGTTTCTTAAGTCAACTTCTCCTCTGGGAAAAATTCCCACAATTATCTCCCTTCCCTCTAACAGCTTCAATCTTTCCTTTCATGCTTTACCTTGGTCAGTAAACATGTTTGAATCTTTCCAACTAAAAATCTGACCCCTCAAACTAGATAATCACATGCAAAAGAATAAAATTGGACCCCTATCTTACACTAAACAAAAAAAATTAATTCAAAATAGATTAAAGACTTAAAAGTAATACATAAAACTGTAAAACTAGTAAATGAAAACATAGAGAAAAAGCTCTTAACATTAGTATTGACAATGTGGTTTATTTTTGGATATAACAACAAAAGCACAAGCAATACAAGCAAAAATAAACAAGTAGGACTATATCGAACTAAAAAGCTCTGCCCAGCAAATGGTACAATCAACAAGATGAAAAGGCGACCTACAGAATGAAAAAAAAAATTTGCAAATTATATAAATTATAAGGAGTTAATATCCAAAATATATAAAGAACTCATACACCACAATACCGAAGGGGGAAAAAAATCCAATAGAGAAACGTGTAGACAAACTGAATGGACATTTTCCCAAAGAAGACATCAAAAGGGGCAACAGGCACACAAAAAAAGATGTTAAATATCACTAACTATCATGGAAATGCAAATCACACCACAATGAGATATAACTTCATACTTGTTAGAATGGTTGTCATGAAAAAGACAAATGATGTGTCTTGTCAAAAATAAAAGAGTTGGCATGAATATGGAGAAAAAGGAATTTTCATGCATTTTTGGTGAGAATGGAAATTGATGGAGACACTATGGAAAACTGTAGGGGTCCATCAAAAAATTAAAAACAGAACTATCATATAATTCAGCAATCCCACTTATAGATATTTACCCAAAGGAAATGAAAAGAGGATATCAAAGGGATTATCAGCACTTCCATATTCATTGTAGCACTATTCACAATAGCTAAGACATGGAAACAATCTCAGTGTCCAGCAACAGATAAGTGAGAGAAAGATAGATAATAGAGAGACAGACAGACAGACGATCAATAGATAGAGGAGTATTATTCAAAAGGAGAAAGAAGGAAATCCTGGTATTTGTGACAACATGCATTATACTTGAGGGTATTATGCTAAGTGAAATAAGTTGGACAGAGAAAGACAAATACTGTATGATACTACTTATATGTAGAATCTAAAAAAAGCCAAACTCATAAAAGCAGTAGTGTGATGGTTACCCAGGGATTGGAGGATGGGAGAAATAGGGAGATACTGGTCAAAGGGTACAAACTTCCAGTGATAAGTTCTGGCAATGTACAAC